TGGATATTTGATGAGGACTGTGAACAATCAAGGCTCCTCCAAAAGTTAACTTCCTACTTTCGACTACTAGCTCAGCTGCTGCTGCCACCACCTGGATACACGTGGGCCATGCTCGCACTACTGGCTCCAGGGTTTTGCTAAGATAAGCTACTGGCTGATACCGCCCCCCTCTCTTTTGGGCTAGGACTCCGACAGCAGTCTGAGAACTAATAGTTACATATAGGTGGAACGGCTGTTGGAGGTTTGGTAGAGCTAGGACAGGGGCCCCTATCAATGTTTTCTTTACTTCTTCCCATCTTTGTTCATCGTCCTGTTCCCATGTTATTCTACCATCTCCGGCCAGTTTCCGGTTTAAAAACCGGACCAGCTTGGCAAATTGATCTATCCACAGTCTACAGTATCCTAGGAGTCCCAACATTCTTCTTACATCTGTTTTGTTTCTAGGAGGTTGTAATTCTAAAATTCCCTTAACTCTTTCTGGATCCAATTTCCTTGTTCCCCCTTCTAGTAAGTGTCCCAAATACTTTACCTTCCGCTGTACAAACTGTAGTTTGTCCTTAGACACCTTCACCCCTAGCTTACCCAGCCAATTCAACAATCTTATAGAGTCTTGTCTAACCTCTTTTTCTTTCTCTCCCATCATCAACAAATCATCCACATATTGCAGCAGCCTATTGGGGCCTGTGGTGGTAAAGCCTGCTAGCTTTTCCCCTAATGCCTGCCCGAAAAGAAGTGGGCTCTCTGTATACCCTTGGGGTAGAACCGTCCATCTATATTGTTGTTTTCTGCCCGTATTCACATCCTCCCACTCAAAGGCAAATAGATCTCGGCTTTCAGTGTCTAGAGGACAGGTCCAGAATGCATCCTTTAAGTCTATAACAGTGTACCATCGGGTTGTGGGCGGAATGCGACTAAGGAGAGTATATGGATCCGGTACTACGGGGAAACGAGGGACCACTATCCGGTTTATGTTTCTCAGGTCCTCAACCATCCTGTATTTCCCATCTTTCTTCTGCACCGCTAAGATAGGAGAATTAAAAGGTGACATGGTGGGTTCTAATAATCCCTGTTTTATCAGCTCATTTACCACCGGCTGTAGTCCTATCCTCCCTTTTCTGGTCATTGGGTATTGAGGGGTCCATGACTGGGTGATTCCTGGCTTTACTGTGACTTTGATGGGGACTATACCCAGTCTCCCTACCATCTTCCCATCCGCCCACACCGTCGGGTCTATTTGTTCCTCATCCTCTATCTGCAGGGGGTACATGGGAGTTCCTGAATCTAAATCTAATAACTGAAATCCCAATTCTACCATCAAGTCTCGCCCTAACAAATTTATTCCTGCCTCGGGAATGAATAATAACGAACCTCTAGCCGTCCGGTCCCCTCTCCTTATAATGGTTTCCTCTAATTGCCCGACTTCCTTCGGTTTTCCGCTTACCCCTATTATTTTCAAGTTTGACATTGTTTTGCGTACCCCTGGAACAGGCACACATACAGAGGACCGGGTTGCTCCTGAGTCTATCAGAAAAACTACTGATTTCTAAGAGGGCCCTACGCACAAGTTCACCAGTGGCTCATTCCGGGTCCCATGGAGCGAGCCGGAGGTTCCCTATTCATCATATAAACTGAATAACTCAGTTGTGTCATTTCCTCCCTCCCCCTCTGTCTGTCTTGGCCTCTGGCTTTCCTGCCTTTGTTCATTCCTTTCCAATATCTGTTCTCGTGGGGTCCGACATTCTCGGGCGAAGTGACCAGGCCTGTTACATCGATAACAAATGATACCGGACCCTGGTGTGTAGCCTCCCTTTCCTCTCCCTCTTCCCCGATATGGCGCCCCCCCACGCCCTCTGGCAGTCTCGGTTTCCTGTTGCTTCTGAATTTCCCAAGTTTTCTGTAGAGTGGCCGCCATCATCTGGCACTTCTGCTTACTCTTTACTGCCTCCCTATTAACATAAACCTGCTGCGCTGTTCTTACTAAATCTATGATAGCGGCGTCCTGCCAGTTCATTTTCTGCAATTTCTTTTGAATATCAGGCCATGCTTTGGTTACAAATTGCATCTTTAATAGACTGTCAAACGCAAGTGAATCGGGTGCCACCCCTGAATATTTAGTCAAATGGTCTCTAATTCTTTGTATGAAGTCGCCCGGCGACTCCTCTTTCATTTGATTAACCTCAAAAGCTTTGGTGAGATTAGTACTTTGGGGTACAGCCCGTTTGATCCCCTCCAAAATCATCTCCTTTAAATCTATCAAGTGAGTCCGATGACCTGCATTATTTATGTCCCATCTTGGGTCCCCTATAGGAAATTTGGTCTCCGGTGGAGCCGGTGGCTGTTGGTCCCCTTGATTCACGGCTGGCATGGCCACTCGTTGCGCCTCCTTGACTTCCCAAAATTGCATTGCTGCCCTCCTAATCATTGCTTTTTCTTCGGGGGTAAATAGGTGTCCTAAGATATACATCAACTCGGTGTACGTATATATGTGTGGTCCCATCCACATTTGAAGGAGGTTCGCGACCTCTTGGCTGTTTTCATGTAATTTGGGCAGCGTCTGTTTCAACTCCCTGAGTTCTGATGGTTTGATAGGACTAACCACATATACCATTACAGGCTGGCCTTCTTGGTTTATCCCTCCGGGGGTTTCTCTGAGGGGAAAAGTGTGGACTGGAGAATTACCCGGACCCCCCGTCTGAGAGAATCCCCACCCCTTTTCTGGTCTATATGCTCGGAATGTATTAGACCCCGGAGAACCGTGGGGCATTCCCCCTGGGAGTGGGAAGTTCCGCACATCCCTCTCCAGTTGTTGCAGCTCCCTAGATAATGGTTGGTAGGGTGGCGGTGAACAAACCGTCTGATCCAGCCCTTTTTCTTTTCTACCCTCCCTATCCAGTTGGTCAGAAAGAGGAGCCTTTTCTCCCTCTGACCGGGCACTAGCCTGGGGACTTGTGACCGCAGGAAGTACCGGCGGTGTTGGTGGCCGCTGCACGGCTGCGGGAGGGGCAGAAGGGACAGGACGTGTTTCCTCATCTGATTCTTCCTCCTTTTTTCTAAGGGGAAATTGACCGACGGGCGGGGGATCAGGTCCGTAAAACCGGGTATGAAACCAGACCTCTAAATAGGGTTTCTCCTTTTCTTTTTTATTGAGTACTAGATAATTTCTCAGTTGAGTCATCCAATATCTATCTGTCTCCCCCTCGGGGTCCCAAGTATATCCGCCCTCCGGTCCTATTGGATATTTTGGCCAAATGGTCCTACACAAATTGATTATAGTCACTTTCATCAAACTTTTAGTAAACTTCCTTAAATAGTCCTCATCCCACTGGATCAGCACCTGGCCCAGCGGACTCTTAGGGTCGATTTTGCTTTTCCCATTCCCTTCCTTCTGTCCCTTACTCTGACTCTTGCCCATGTTTACAGTGTCTCCGACTCGCACACACACACACACTCACGCGGAATTGCCTGGCCGCTCCCCTCGCGGGAAAGACGGAACCGCAAGCTAATCCTCCCGTCAGGGCAGAACCCTGATCCACACTCACGCGTCCGTATGGAACCTCTCTTCCGTTCAGGAGACGATTCTCTCGCCCCCGTCCCGTTCCACAGCCCACAAGTTTCTTCACTTTCCCACGTCTACTCACCCAGTACAGTCCAGCGTCGCTTCTCGCAACTAGTGAACAGGCGGGCGTCCCCGCTGGGTGCTCGCGGTCCTGGACCGCCAAAGAATTGGAGTTCTCCCTACTTCCGCATATCGAGTCCTGTTTTAGCCCTCGTGAGCTGTCGCGGGCAGACCCAGGTCCGGGTTTTCTCCGAATAACGGAGCGGCGCCAACCCGGAATCCAAGTTCCCCCACGCAACCCGTCGAGGGCCCCACGTTGAGCGCCAGAATTGTTAGATATTAAAACGTGGAAACAAAGGACTAGGACTCCGATATGAGGATAACCCTTTTATTCAGCACGTTTGCAAAAGCGGACTCCCCGTACCCACAGATACGAAGAGCCCCGATCTGGTTTCAGCACCGTAGTTTTATCCCTTACTGCCGCCCCTCTTTTGGAGGCTTGGCTTACAATCTACCTATCAGAGTTTAACACATTTCTAATACATTGTTCAATCTACTCTATTCATTTTTACTCCCTTCTCAGTGTGGGCATCACCCTTTGGCTCGCCCTTTCTGGCGTACGCGACTGTGTTATCTTGTATACATGTCTAGCTCTCAAGGCTGAGTTTGAGGCACGTCCTTTCTGTATGCTTTCATTGTTTCCCAATCTCACACCTAGCTATCCTGCCACACGAAGAATCAGAATGACTGAGGGGTGTAAAAAAAAAAGAAAAAGGGTGTGCTCCTCCTGTGTCTTTTTTTCTATCTTTGAGACCTCCAGATACTAAGTGGTCTATAAATACTCCTAATGATAATAAAAAAATGAATAGTAAAATGTGTTTATAATGAGCAGGCATGCCTAGGATGGCGCTGTTAATAAGAGAATAAGTTGAATTATGTTTCAAATGTTTTTCTTTGCTGCCTTTGTAAATAGATGCTACTCTTTTTATTTTTAAGATATTGTATATTCAGTGTTGAAGTGTTGATATGATTTGCACAAGTATGATCCATGTGAGTTTGCCGAACATTTTTGAATTTTGAAAAATAATAATAATCCAAACTTGAATATTAACTTTTTTTAAAAAAAATATCGTCGTCGTCCCTTTCTCCCCCGTTTCTAATCCGGGCCTGCTTTTATTTGATGTATTTCCCGCCTTTTCCTCCTCAGGCGTATCCCCTCCCCTTCTGCTCCATCAACCCCCAAACCGTCACTGAGGCGACTCTCCCGCCCTCCCCTCTTGCCCCCACCCTCGCCGCCGTCTTTCATATCTAATTCCACCAATCCCAGAGTGAAAACGAGGCTTGTCGTTTCACAAGCTCCGCCCCGTTACCTTTCGCAACTGATAAAGAGGTGTGGCTTTTGGAAGGAAAACGGTTTCCTGTTTCGGCTTTGAAAAGACTCCGTTGTGCCCGCGCGCGCGCACACGCACGCACGAGCGTCCCCAGGGTTTGGCAGTGGTCGGGCCGCCGGCGGAGCTTTGGAGGTCCAGCCCGCGCGCGCGCGCACAGAAGGGGAGGGAGGGGTGAGTGTGGGCAGGCGCGCGCGCGTGGCGGCGGCGGCGGCGACTGCTACTGGCTGTGATTGGCGCGAGGGCTTAGTTCCATCCAGGTGGGAGGGGCGGCTCGCTCTCGGTCTCTCTGTGTCTCCTTTGCAAGCTGAGCAGTAAGTAGCATCTGCTGCTGTGCGCGAGACCAGGAAAGGAGCATGTCTGCAGGCAGGGCCAAGAAAGTGAAGATGGCCACCAAGTCCTGCCCAGAGTGCGACCAGCAGGTAAGGCTTTAGTAGTGTGAATAAGGAGATCGCCCCGAAAACGTGGACCACGTCCTCCCTGGCTCAGGTTGTGGGTAAAGGAGGACTCATCGAAATGCCCCAAGTGCTTTTTCTCCATCCTGAGTTTAACAGCTTACCTTAAGCATCCAGGTGTGTTTCATTGCATTGCATGCCCACATAGGCATTGCATGCCCACATAGGCATGTCGAGGACGGAGATGGCACTCCCCTCCCCCCGCAAAAGTCTTAGCCTGAAATCCTGCACTGAATAATTCTATTACATTTGTAGAATGCATTTAAAAACAAATATTTTGCTTTAACCCCCCCCCCCCAAAGTATTTGCTGCAAATGTCATTGCATTGTATTGTTGCAGCTGCAGTTCCTTGGCAAGAGGACAAGAGGAGGTTTGGATTGGTGACTTGTGAAGCTTTAAATAAAGGAATCCTGTGCTTTTAGCCCCTGCCCTATATAATTTTGTGGCGCTGCGAGTGTTCTGAATAAATACATTCAGTATGTTCTCTTGAAGAGTTATCTGGAAGAGGTGACAGATGGAAGAATAATAAGGCTGTTGAACTTGCAATATTAATATTTCCTGATGAACAGGATTAGGGATTGGCAGTGCACTCCTATGCACATCTACTCAGAAGAATGTCTTACTGATTTAATCAGGGCATATTCCCAGGGAAGTATGTATACGATTGCAGCCTTAGGAGCTGAAAATGAGACTGAAGACTTACGTACACTCATATATTGATTTTAGTCTTTTAAAAATACTGCTGTGCTACTTCCTGTAAATAATGGTGTTTGTTCTTGCCCATGTTTTGAGATTATATCAGTCAAGTTTGACTCTGCCACTATTCCTTTCAAAAGATGTAGCAGAGGTTTTACAACTGTATGTAGCCCACTGCTGCCCTATTTATTGTTTGTCTGAGCTGGAGATATATACACACAGGTACTGTTGTGACCAGGTCACTCAGTGGCTAAACATCCTTACATTTGACACCTTGTGTTGCAGTTGAGAATCAGCTGTTCTTCATTCTGCTGGGTGAAAAGGTTCATGAGACTCAAATAATTATATACCCCACAGCATTGGTATGGTAAAAATTATTGTGCGTTTCATACCTTGTTGAAATAACACAGAAACTTTAATTATATTGAAGAAAGAAGCCTGTGTTTTTCTTTTTCCAATCCCCAGATGCTATATTTAATTGTCATTTTCCTCTGTCCTTAATCTGTTTTGTTTGAGGGGGTTCTTATTGCAATTTTCTCCTTAAAACTGAGATTATAAAATACTGGAAGTTGCCTTGGTGGGGGTCAATACTAGCAGAACACTGTTGTTGACTCTTAGAAATGTTATGTGTCTGGACAGAGCTGGTACATGTTGCTACCACTATGACCTTTTATTTACTGATTTATTAATTTCAATCATTCATTTTCCCCAAGTTGCTCAGGGGTGCAGTGAGGCCCCCCCCCACATTTAATCCTCACAACAACCCTGTGAAGTAGGTTATGCTGAGAGAGACTGACTGGTCTAAGCTCATCCACAGCTCAGTAGGGATTTGGTCTTGGGGCCCCCTGGTTTCTCTATTGGGCACATTAATTACTGTTGATTGGATTATGGTAGCACTCGTCTTTTAAGCTTCAAGTTGATTTAGTTGATCTAGTTGATCTGAGTAGGCCCAGAATCACTCAAACTCAAATCTATTGGTTCAATTCATCTCCCCACAACACTTAATGGGTTTAAGCTGGGTTCGAAACTACTTAACTAGCTTTAGCTTCACACTTCATGTGACAAACATGTTGCTGCATGTAAACTGGGTGTTTACTGTAGCAAACATGTAAAGTGTGGATGACGCGTCTTTGAAGGCCTCATTATGCCCTTTGGGGAAACCCGTCTCAGTCAGGTTTCCTAGATGCTCCCTCTCTCCCCCAGTTTATGCGTATGCTTTAGGAATCACCAGATACATTTTCCATGTAAAGTGTGGAGCTGCTTTTAATTATGGCATTTTCCTGATGCAACTTCTGAATGCTACGCAGTTCCTCACAAAGCAAGGGTTCCTATTTTGTCAGATGGGTGTATTTTACACAGCATGGAAAAGTTATTCTGAGAGTTTGTAAGTAGCTTATGGGATATCTTGTGGCCCTATAAGGCCTTGTTTCGCTTGCCCCAGTGAGAATCTGCTCAGAGTTTATTTTACCCTCTAAGACTACTGCATCACAAACAGCTGTCTCTGGATATGTTGGAGTTTATGCAGTTGTGTCTGGCGTCTGTGTCTTGATCTTCAACCTTGTGAAAGCAGGCCAACTCGGTTTCCTTTTTTCCCATCCTAGAGATTGCCTTTGGAAGAAGTTTGCTCAGTGCAATCTGTCCTTACCGCCCAAGAAGGAGCCTGACTCAAATGTGGGGGATTCTGCATAGCTATTGCTGTCTCTTCCTGTGCTCCAGTTCTTTCCATATGCTCCATTCACTCTTACCACACTTTTTCGTGTTCTGAGGGGGTTTGCTGAATGTGTAATAGGGAGGTAGTCATCGTGCTCTGGCAGAGTTGTGCCGAATAAACCGCCCCCCCCCCAAGGCCTAGTGGCACACAGCTGTGAAGAATCAGAAACTAAAAAAAGAAAGAGAGCTTATTATAAAACAGCTTCTGATCTTTAGCATTTAAACACACCACCCGGCCAGCTTGCTGCTTAGTCATTTAACGGCTGTAATTTTTTAATATTACGTACATGCTGTGTTGTGTTAGTGCCCTGATAAAAGGGTTTGCAGCGGCACCTCAGTTTGACAATCTCTCAGCCTAACCTGCCTAACAGGAGAGACCCCATTGCCCTCACGGAGATACAATTCTCAAGAGTGGTTTAAGAAGCACCCCTTCTCCCCAGGGAATGGTAGCTCTGTGAGGTTGAATAAGGGTCTCCTAACCTGGAGGTTAGTGCCAGAGCTTGGCTAACCGTAGCCAGGCTGTTGCTGTCCAGGTGGGGTTGCAAGCTGGTGCACCAACTCAATTGGTGAAAGGTACCCAATGTCACCAGAGACTGCATTCCTGATCCTTGACGGGAGTGCAGCCCCATCGAAAACAGGTTGGACAGATGAACCATCTCTTGACAGCACATCAGGACAAATACTGAAAGGAAGTACTTCTTCATGCAGCACGTAGTTAAACTGTGCAAGTCCCACAGGAGGTCGTGATGGCCACAACCTTGAATGGCTTTAAAAGAGAATTAGGCAAATAAATTCATGGAGAAGAGGGCTCTCAGTGGCTACTAGCCATGGTGCTGTGCTGCCACAGTTGGCAGCAGTAATGCGTCCGAAGGCTAGTTGTCGGAAACAAGAGGAAGAGAGTCTGCTTGAAGGTTTCCCAAAAGAGGCACCTGGCTGGCCACCTTGAGAATAGGATACTGGACTAGATGGGCCATTGGCCTGATCCAGAAGACTGTTCTTATGTTCTTTGTTGTCAGGGTGAGCTTTAGTTTATTGGCTGACATCCAGTCCACAACAGATTCTGAGAATGACTCGGCACTTCCTCACATGTGAATATGAGAAAAAGGGGAGGGAATTGTGAAAATATTAATGCCGCCCACCTTCAGAAGACATCTCATTCTGTGGTTGTAAAAAGTGGGAGGGGAATGCCACAGAGCTGAATTCTAGTCTTTTAGTATCATATTCTGAAATGGGCCCTCCAGAGAGGTGGAAGATCACTCAAACACTGTTTTTTCAACTCCCTATCCAAAGGGTCAAAATCTAACTGAGTAATATTCGGAGTAGGCTCATTGAAATCGGTGAATGCAAGTTAGTCATGGCCAGGTAGGATGCCATGACTGATGTTATCAAAAGCCTCTGAGAGATCCAGGAAAATTGGCAGGGCACACTCCCTCTGTCCTGCTGGTTAACAAGTCATCAATCAGGGTGCCCAAGATGGCTTCTGAATTGAAACTAAGCCAAGCTGAAACAGATCCAAATTAACAGTTGCATCCAGGAGTGCCTGGAGTTGTGTGCATCTTCTTAATTCTGATAGTCTGCTGCTGTTTGGAGGAAGCTGCATTTCCGATAATTAGGTTTTTACGTCGAGGCTGATTTCAGCATGCCTCTGCTTTGAGTGAAGGCTTCCCATTGACATTTACAATAATAGATCTAATGCAAATCTTTCAGGCTGCCGTCCTAAACAGGCCTGCCTAGGTGTAAGACCCACTGGAAGAAGAGGTCCTTGTTTCTGCATGAGCATGTTTAGGATTGTACTGTGGTGCTGTTACCGCTCTCCACATTATATCAAAATGCACAGAAGGCCATTCACACGTGGGGATCTCTTGAGAGAGTGGCAAATGTATTTTGTGTCTTCTGTATGATGACAGAAGCTTTAATATTAGTCAGGCGCATAACCGTAGCTGCATGCTAGGCTGTAATCAAAACTAGCCAATGCAACCGAAAGAACTGCAGGGTGTTAACTTAAAAGGGGTTGCTGACGTTTTCCTGGAAATGGCAGAATAGACGGTTGTCGATTAAGGAATCAGTGTTTCCACTGAAGCGAGCCTTTTTGTATGCAAGCATAGATCGCTTCATGAGCAATGGAACTCCTTCCTTTCTCTGAATAGCAACTTTGTGCTGCCTCGGAAACTGCTTCTGAAAATTGTTGTGGGGGTGGGACGCTTCTTCCTGTTTTCTTCACTGGATGTGGAAGCTCCATGACTTCTGGCTCTTGTAAGGGAAGCAGCAGTAATAAATACCACTGCAGTCTTAAGATTGCGTGTGAGTGGTGTTCTGGAAGAATGCCTTTCTCATTTTTGTTTTTCAAATGGGCTTATTCATAAAAATTACGTGAATGAGATTATCAATGAAGGTTGCCTTGGGGTTTTTTGATCCAAATAATTACCTCCAAGTTCATCATGAATGGGGCCCATTGTGAATAACGCAGAGCCTTGGCAGATAATGCACGACCCAGGAAGAGCAATAATCTGCTGTATGAGGGCTGTCTGCTCGTAAACTTGCATCTGCATGTAGGGTTGCACAGGAAACGGAGCCCTACCTCTGGTGGCACTAATAACTCGGTGTGATGCATACAGTAGGAATATTCTTGCCCCTTTTCAAAGAAATGCAGAGGCTGAATACCATTTGTTCTTCTAATATTAGCTCATGAAAGGGAAACCCATATGTGGTTGGGACAGCTTCAAGGTTTCATTCTGATTTAGCCTGGGTCTAAGCTGTTTTAGCAAAGCTATCTGAAATACCATGTTTTTAATGAAAGGGGTACGGTTGTTGTTATAATATGTATTTTTAATATACATTCTTAATATATTGTCTCAAATCCATTACTGCTTAATTACTTTTTCTTTGTTTTAGCGGTTTCCATTTTATCTGTGTTTTTGTACTTTTTGCCTGTAAGCCGCCTTCAGCCCCGGTCTGGGGAAAGGGCTCGGTATAAATAAATATAATAAAAATTAAAATTTATCAGGACTAACGGCAGGCACAATGACGAGCGCTATGGCAGCTGGCAGGCGTAGATTCGCGATGTGCTCGTTGTGCAAGACGTAGAACACGTAATCAATACCTGGTTTGTTAATAACAGGTGTGATAACTGGGCAGCAGGTCCTTCTGCCACGATGCTGTTTTGTTAACATTTCCCGTGGCACAACCTCTTTATTGCACGGTTCATTTATTGTTAAGATAATGACTTTATGAATCAGAATGAGTTGAGTAGATCATTTACAGTGGAATCCCATGCTTGGGAACATGGGGGGAGGTTGCCTTACATTTTGAACTGGGCCATTGGTCCATCTAGCTCAGTATGGTCTACACTGAGTAGCAGCAACAGCTGCCCAGAGTTTCAGAGGGAGGACATTCCCAGCCGTACCTGGAGATGCCAGGGATCAAACCTGGGGCCTCCTTCATTCAAAGTGGATGCTTGACCACTGTGCTCGCAGCCCTTGTCCTTGTCTACTCAAAGGAAGTCCCACTGAGTTCAATATGGCTTACTCTCAGGAAAGTGGAGTTGCAACCTTAAACTGCCCAGGTATCAGTATCACCAGCAGGTATTCTGCACAAACCACAGATGACGTCATAAAATTGTTCCTTGGACTGTGTAGCCATAGATGGTAGTTGAACATTGGAGTGTTCACCCATTTAAAAAAAATGAAGAGATTGTCTCCTCCCTCCCCCCCCCCCGCCAGCCAGCCTTCCCCCAAACTGTTGCAATCCAGATATTGTTGGATGAAAGCTCTCATCAGTCACAGCCAGCATGGCCCAATGGTCATGGTCAATGGGGGCTGGAATAAGCATTTGGACCACACATAATTGCACTCTAAAATATATGGGGGAAATTGCTATAGCTCAGTGCTAGTGCATAATCCTTGCATGGTAAAGATCCTGGGTTCAGTTCCTAGCATATGGCTGCCTGAATCCCCGGAGAGCTGCTGCCAGTCAGTATATAGACAAGGCTGTGCTAGATAAGGGCCTAAGGGGCTGCTGGATCAGGCCAGTGGCCCATCTAGTTCAACATCCTGTTCTCACAGTGGCCAACCAAGTAGGAGCTAAGCACAAGAGCGCCCTTCCCTCCTGTGGTTTCCAGCAACTGGTATTCAGAAGCATTTCTGCTACTGTGGAGGGCAGAGCAGAGTCACCATGGGCCAGTAGCCATCAATAGCCTTTTCCTGCATGAATTTGTCTAATCCTCTTTTGAAGCCATCCAAGTTGGTGGCCATCCCTGCCTCCTGTGGGAGTGAGTGTTGCGTGAAGAAGTACTTTCTTCGATCAGTAATGGATTTTCCAACAGATGGACCCATGGCCTCACTCGGTGTAAGGCAACTTCTCATGTTCCTGTGTTAAGCAGTGCAGTCCTGGGGCAGTTTTTAACTTGATTTTTCTCAGTTCTTTTGAAATGTAGTCCTTTTCTCTTTTGTCTCTCTTCCAGGTTCCTGTTGCATGCAAATCCTGTCCGTGCGGCTATATATTTATCAGTCGAAAACTCTTGCATGCTAAACGTTCTGAAAGGCTGCCGTCCTCAGGTACTTTTCTACTTGATGGCTTTGCTTATACTGTTGTGGTTTTAAAAGAGTACAGCTGAAGGGAAAGGATTAAGTAGTGTCCCCCCCCCCCCCAGGATATCCCTGGGTCCAGCTTACTGCTGGCTCCTGGCACAGACCAAGACTGCTGTACATCTCTACTATATAATATCTGTTTTGTCCAGGTGCTGTAATGGGTATTCTGCTGCTGGCATATCAGTTGGGCAAAATGTGGGTTTTCTTTTGACACAGAGGTTCAGAAATGTTTTCTGCCTCTGGCTTTGTTTACCCAACCCTTTCCCTACCTCCTTCCTCTACTTTCTTCTGTATCTCTTGTACAGTGGTACCTCGGGTTAAGAACTTAATTCATTCTGGAGGTCTGTTCTTAACCTGAAACTGTTCTTAACCTGAAGCACCACTTTAGCTAATGGGGCCTCCCACTGGCGCTGCACCACCACTGCACAATTTCTGTTCTCATCCTGAAGCAAAGTTCTTAACCCAAGGTAATATTTCTGGGTTAGCAGGGTCTGTAACCTGAAGCGTATGTAACCCGAGGTACCACTGTACTCCTTTTCATTTATGCCAACTCCTGCCTGTTTGATGAGTTCTTTCCTTCCTTCCTTCCTTCCTTCCTTCCTTCCTTCCTTCCCTCCCTCCCAGCCTTTTGATTTCTAACCACTTTCCATTAACCTGTTGCCCTCCAGATGCTTTAGACTGCATTTCCCATCAGCCTTCTGATGGGAATTGTAGTTCTAAGCGTTTGGAGGGCGCCACCAGCTTGGCAAAAGCTGCTCTTACTTCCTGTACACCTCTGCTCCTGTTTTCTTTCTGGTTCAGCAATTTGGATATTATTCATTGTGTGGATTGTGGCAAGAAAAGGCGAATCTGTTTGGTTATGAGATCTTTTGAAGCATTGGATTTGGAAAGAAAAGCATCACTGGTTATAGAGGCAATTTCATTTTGACATTTATGCTTTGTGAATAATATCTCTTTAAAAAAAAGCTGGGTGAAGAGGCTGGGGTGGTGCAGAGAAACACTATGGTGGAGTCAAAGGGCTCACATTGAGCAATGTCAGAGAAGCAGATCTTAAAATGTACAGTATCATAATAATGGTGGTGATAATGTGTTGAAACAGAAAGCAGAAGTGAAGCTAAGAGGAGACGGACAGAGAGAGTCACAAGAGAGAGGATAAACTCCGTGGTAAATAAAGATTTAGAAAACAGGAGAAGATCCAGATCAAACAGCCATTCGGATCACAGTAGAAGAGGAAGAGGACGACCAAAGACCACCTCAGCGAAAAAACACGAGGAGGAAAGAGGTATTAAAGGCAAAGAGCTGCTGCTTGCTGATCTTAGCATGCTGTAGAGGCCACAAGCATGTGAGGGTCTGTGAATTTCTTTCCCCCACACACACACGAGGAAGAAGGGGAGGAGAGCTTCGTTTTTGCCTTTGTGATGATTTCCTCATTTTGGTCAAACGGACTGGGGACTGTTGTGGTAGGGAAGGCAAACATCCTTCCTTCTGAGGAAATTAGTTTTATAAGCTATGCTTACAGGGCTGCCTTGTGAACCTACCCAACCTTTGCTTCTGAGGCTGCCTCTTACTTGCAGAGATAATCACTGGGTGGGGAATGGAAGAGGCCAAAACATCAAACACCCCATCACCATTTCCAGTGTCAAACCTAGATTGGGCAGGTCAGGGAGTGGGGGAGCAGGATACTGTCACCGGCCTCATGTGAGGCACAATGCAAAGTCACATTGGCACAGGGCAGGATCCTGGTGGCCACAGCAAACCGCCAGTCAGATATAGTGGACCGCTGAGGATCAAGCTTAAACACTGATGTGGTTTGCCAGTGGTAAACTGTGGCTTGTCGTGAATGAGACAGCCTGCTTGTGCCACTGTGGCTGTTTTGCTCTTCCTCAAGTCCTACTGCTGCCACCACACTAGGCATGGTTTGGCTTAGTGTTTCGTGCAAACCTGGGCTCGTGGCTTGTCTCATTCTGAACAAACCATGCCTTTTCCCTTGGCATGTCCCAAACGAACTACAAGCCTGGGTTCAGATGCGTTGCTAAGCTAGGCCGTGTCTTAACTCACAGCGCAGCAGGAGTGGGAGAGGAGTGAAGCATCTATAGTTGTCGCCCTGTGCACCCTGTATACATGTCCGTCTGTGGTAAGCCATAGTTTGGCATACAGTGGCGTGCAAATGAAGCCATTATGATGATTATAAAATCAAGGCAGTCCCAGCTGTCATAATTTGCCATGGGGAGCTCCCATTGTGAGTGCAGTAAGTAGGACAAATAAAAGAAAGCCTGCTAAGAAATTGCTGAGTTACAGCACTTCAAAGATTTCCGACTTGAAGTGCAGTTTGTAATATATCCTGCCCCCTCCCCCCTGCCACCTAAAGCATACCTCCTAGCTTTTCCTTTCTTCAGGTTTAGATTGTCTCAAAAATTACAGGGGTCTGTTTTGGTAAAATTTCTGTTTTTCTTTAACTATTTGGTTCATTAAAGTAATGTTCTCATTTCTGAAAAATTGGCTCATAAATTAAGGGGATCTTGGGGTGAAACTGAACTTACAGATTCTGCCTCTCTTTGGCAGCTGTGTTTCTTATGACAGGCCGATCATGGTTGTTCATAACAGTTGTTTTGTCTTTTCTGTATATCTGGTTGGTTTTTTAATCCAATGTGTAGTCTCTTGAGAATACTTTATTTTATGAGAATGGCTGTGAACCCTGTTTGTTTTGTACAGTTTTTTTATTTTAAAAAGAGTTCATACTTGGTTGTTACTTTCACTTCATAATAAAGCCTTGAAAATTATAGATTAAAAATGCCTGACACATAAATAACATTAACTGTTAAAACCTCTTTTTTCATGGTGTATACATTTGAGTCACAATCTGTTCATTTTATCTCTATGCGACACGGCTGTATATAACTAGAATGACTGAAATGACCTATATAGGGTCATTCTTTTATAGGACGGTATCTGTCTTCACATAATCTTCATGTTGGCAAAGTGCACAGCATAATTAATTGCATGACTTAAATCAACAGAGCGATTATTGACCGCTGTCAGGTTTTATGCAACCGGTTTTTCTTCATGGGGAGAATGTGGCTAAATATATTTAGACCAACACAGCAAAAAGAGTGTTCGTCTGCGTGTCCAATTCCCGCTTTTTAAAAGTAGTTGAAATAATACTTGGCTCATGTAATGCCTTTTCTTTCTCTGCAGAGAAACAAGAGAAAGAAGTTGACATGTATGCAAACCTATCTGACGAAAAGGCTTTCGTATTTTCCGTGGCCTTGGCAGAAATAAACAGAAAAATAATCAACCAGAGGCTTATTCTGTGATTGCCTGGCCCAGGACCTATGCATGCTATGGTGTTTAAGCCAGGCAGTGGATTTCGAACTGTCGGTGGCCTCTCCAGCAAGGAATGCTGCTGCCTGCCTTAGTGAAGGCTGTATGTCTCTTTTCCTTGCTGACCTTCTGCTGCGGCTGCTGCTGTTTGGATCATGCAGACTTCTTGTTCCAGCTAATTGTCAAGAAGGAAAACGACCAGCACTTTGCTTGGGGGGGAAGAAATCAAAATCTGATGAACGTGGCATCTTGAAGAACTCAACGGAGTTATTAAAAACTGTTATTTTGAACACTTCTGCAATTAAAATGCAATGTTTTAATTAATTTAAATCTCCTTCACCATAGGGTTCAGATTTTGCAGCTTTATTGAAGCTTACATGTACATAGTTAAGCTAACTTCTTAATAAATCAATATTCTGGTGTTTGTTTTTATTAATCTGCTGAATTGATCTGGGAGCCATAGCGTGTTTTTACTTCCGGTTTAAGAGAGTCTGAATAAACGCTTCTTAAGTCAGCATATAGATCATTTGTGCTCAGAGCAGAAATGTGATACATGGGCAATAAAGTGAAAATCAATTATTCCTCTTTTTTCCAGAAGCATTGATGCATTTGTGTTGGACTGTCACCCCTTTTAATCTCAGCTGCAGAATCAAACTAGTTTGATTAAATATGCCATACATCTACATGTGACGAAAACAGCAGCTTTGAAGCGTGTGGAGAGGGGGGGAACGACCCATACTTTTGCTGTAAGACTAAAAGAGTTTTTAACAGGGAAGACCTGAAATCTTGCTAGGAAATCCTTCCGGAAGGGGATTGTATAGATTCCATGTTGGGCTGTGGTTTTAGGTTTTTTATAGAGATGCTTTTGCACTTGTGCAAACCTTGTTTATTTATAGAAGTATTTCCATAGCTTATCTGCAGATGGTCCCATTTTGGATACATAGTCAACAACACTCATACATTGAAAATAGAGGGAGCCAGCTGGGCCTGCAAGAAAAGGCAACAGTAGTGCTCTTTCTAGCTGGCTAGAAGACACACTGCCTTTTCGAGGACACTCTGGTTACATCCCCTCTTAATTTTATGCCTGCCCCTTCCAACAGTCATTCCATGGCCACTGAGCTTGCTCAGAGTCCACAGCCTGGGGCCACCACAATTCCGTCAGAGGCCAAGTTTGGGCCGTGAGCCACCTACTGGTTCAATCCTGGTACTGCTAGTGCATTTAGCTTACTTGAAATGCCTTCCTTTTGCATGCTGATAAGAATTCCTTTTTCCAGGGGGCATCATGGACCCTTGCGACTGAGTGGGCTAAGTGAGTGCCTTGAAGGGCTTTCTAATGAGGATAAGCAGAACAGCCCACTAAAAGCTGTTGACAGTCGAATGGAGAAAACAAAATTCCCAACATCTTTCAGAATGCAATCATTCATATATATATATATATAAATTCTTTGGTAAAGCATATATCTTGTCTTTTGGGAAACCATCTCAAGAAACCAACCTCTGAGCAGGGGAAAAAATAAGCTGTTGCCTCTTTAATTCCAAATGCGATTAAAAATAACTCTCGACTTCACTGGAAAATCATTTCACTTCCTGCAAGCAAAGCCTATAATTTATAACATTGTGGGGAGCTTTTGTTTCTGTTGTGTGGTTTCTCTCGCCCCCCCTCCTTTACCTTCCTGCCCAGTTCTCCAGCTCTTCAAATTGTAGGCTGTGCCTCTACATTTTTAATTCGTTGTGCATGGAGAACATTGGCGCTGAGTTGTCTTTGAGCCCTTGAAAGCTGGACTTCGGGTGCTTATTTACAGCAAGCGGGCAAGCTTGCCATTGCTTTAAGTACTTGAGGCCAGGAGCAATTATGGAAATAGGATTGTAGAACTAATAAGATGTGTTTCTCTCCCTACCCGCCCCCCCCCCAAACCAATATCCATATGGGCAACTTGGAACAACTTTGGAAAAGGACCAACATCGTATTTATTTACATTCTGGTCTGTGAACAGCAGCAATTTGAAGTGTAAGAGCATAAGAAGTGCCCTGCTGGATCAGGCCAGTGATCCATCCAGCCCAGCATCCTGTGCTCACTGCGACCAGCCAGATGCCGGTGGGAAGCCGGCAAGCTGGACCTGAGCAGAGCAGCACACTGTGTATATCAGCAAGTGGCATTCAGAGGCAAGATGTATCTGAAAGTGGAGGTAGAGCTTAGCCATTGTGGCTAGTAGCCACCAATAGCCCCCTCTCCCATTATTTATTCCAATCTTTTAAAGCTATCTAGGTTGGTGGCCATCACTGCATCCTGCATCCATACTTTAACTGCTGCATGAAGGGGGACTTTTCTCTGTCTTGAATCTTCCAACATTGAGCTTCATTGGATGCCAGCTAGTTCTGCCGTTATGAGACTGGGAGAAAAACTTTCCTATCCATTTTCCCCCCCATGTCATGCATAATTTTATGAACTTCCGATGGGTGACATAGGTGTGGAGCTTGTGTCTTTCCAGGTGATTGTTGGACTCCCAACAGCCTCGGCCAGTGTGAGATCAACATCTGATTAACAGAAAGATGCAGAAACACTAGGAATGGAGGAAAAAATGGACTATGCATTTAAATCCAAATTCAAATTTGCCTTTTGAAAATATGCAAACCGAAACAGCTATCATTTGAAATTCGCACTTACCTGAATTTTCTAACAAGGTTCTCCAGCGTTCACAAAAATGCATATATTAGGGGAAAGCGCACATGGAAATGAAAACATTAGTGACTATAACATGCAAATATGCTGTATATTCGGGAAAATAGCTTGCAAAACTCTGTATTTGTAAAAACCATATAAAAAGTGTTTATTGGGGAAAATTTGAAATAAAGCACTGATGAATTTTCATGAGGATTTCTTTTTGAATTGGTGCAAAATGTAGAAAACAGAATTTAAGAATGAGAAACGGAACCAAAATTAACTGATCCTCCCATCTCTAATATGGGAGCCTTTCAGAAGGGATGCACATTGCTGCATAAACCACACTGCCAACAAAATAAAGATCAGTGCTCTGCGAATTGGGATCAGTGCTCATCTGGAGGATGTATTTGGGACTTTCTTTATCTAGCAGTTATTCATGTTTGGCACCTATTGAGGAAGAGGCAGTTTCTCTTTCCCCGTTCTACACTTCTTGCTCAAAGTAATCAGAGATGAAAGCAAAACTGCGGAGCTCAATGATGTACACATGATTTGCATTCTTTCAGACAACATTCCAGATGCACGCAGGAAAGAAAAACATCATGATTAACAATAAATCGGAGCAAATGCTTGTCAAAGCCGAGGCATAATAATAATAAACTGTAAGCTTTATGCAAACAAGATCAGGACGGCTGCTCATTTAGCAGGCTGGCCTGGAGAGGGAGCCCCATGACATTCTCTTGCTTTAAAGCCTGACTTGGGGGGGGGGGGGAGAGATACATGGCAACTTCTACGGCTAGGTGGCAGTATATTCCCAATAGAAAAAAGCACACCCTGTATACTGCAGTACTGTGGCTATTTGGCCATTAGAAGCAAAGGGCATGCCATGCTGCTGCCTGGTAGCCTTGGCTGCCCCTTCTTATTTGCAAAGCACCCTCAGGAGGGAGTGATTTGCATCAGAGAAATATGAAGAAGGCTGTGCCTTACCCTCTCCTTGCCACATGCTTTCAGCTGAAACTGCTTTCTGGCCCACACCCAATACTTTTACTGCTGGGACGCTCCAGGCCCATGCTGGTAAGCTTTGTTTGTTTTTTAAACACCTCATCCATCACTGTGGAAGGTTGCCTGGCCATTATTCTGGAAACCCTCCACTGTTTTACATCTCCTTTCATTATGCATCATGGGCTTGATGGTGGTGGTGTTGAGTAGAAACATGCCCTGTGTGCCCCTCTGGCAGATAGAGAGGAGGAGACCATTGGGTCAAGAAGGCGGTTTTTGCATATGATATACAGTAAGTAGAATAAATGTTCACAAATGTACAAGGCAAACACACACGCATAAGTACAGTGTCTGAAACAGTACAGGAGAGCAACCCTGAAGCCATTTTGACTCTCCCAAATTGACCTAAAATATTTATCGGCAAGGAGGAAGGTAATGGGAAAAGCTTTCCAGTTGTCTTTGGACTGTAGGGGCTTACACCTCCCTTTGCAAATACAGTCTGGCAAGTATCTGTTAAGCTGAGCAAACTATCAATATATGTAAGAGATTCGGGAACTACAGTATTTACCATCACAAAAGAATGGCCAGAGTGCCCAGGTTGAGCAATGATTAACCATTATCAGGTATCCTGATGTTGGTCTTGGGGGGGGGGGTCTTCTTGAGCTACAGGGGATGCAATTTGAAAAGTCTATATAAGAGCTTGCACACCATTGTTCGGTGTTCCTCTCCTCCCTCCCTGTTGCAACAGTTTAATAATGATCATGCTTACTTGCTGCTTTGCTTCTTAATATTCTCTGGTTGGCCTCTGTTATTTTCTCTTACCGATAGAGAACCTACTTAAGGACTCTGTACAGGCTCTTGGATACCCCATAAGGGAAAAGGAGCAGTATTTTCTTATAATACTTGGAAACAGCATCATTTTTATTAGAGCAACCGATGAAGGTGGAAGCCAACATGTTTCACTTTAAGAAATTAAATTTTCTGTTTTCTACTCACTGTAATAAATACAAACAAACAAACACACTTTCTTTTTCTTTAAAAACAGGCCATGACCTAAACCCATCTCCAGAGGGCAGCCTACGCTGGCAAACTGCATTTTATAAACAAGAAACAAGCCCTGATTTTCTCCCCAGCCTCATGTATCCTACCTCAAAAATGAGAAACAGCTGGGAGAAGTGTCCTGTCCCTGGCAATGTTGCCAGGATGTATATGTAGGTGATCAGCCTTTTGGGGGAAGGTTTAAAAATGGAATGCCTTTGGTCCTGGGGGGATTTCCTCCCTCTGTGTTAAGAGATGCAGGAGACAAATAGGTACTAATTAGCTGTGGAGAGAGCCTTGTGGCTCCCTGACCTTTCGCTCTAATCCATTTGGAACGGAGCACCCTATTGAAATATGTTTGTGCCAAGGCAGGACAGTCAGTGTAGCTCAGGCTGCTGCATGATGCCTCTTCGGCTGGAGACCTTGACAGATCCATAAGTGTATGTTCCCCTTTCCCCCTTTCCCCCGATAACGGTCCTTTTACATCTTTCGTTTTGTAATTTAAGGCTTCTGCCCTCCCAGCCCATCTTCCAGGCTTTCAGTGTTGCGCTGCATTCCTTCGTCCCCTCTGCTGCTCCTCGGAAGTGCTATATGCTGGTATCCAATGCGGCTTTGGTGCACGGATGGAAGACGAATGAAAGGGTAGGTACCAGTGGAACGGGCAATGCTGGCTTTTCTTTCTATTTGTGGCTCTTTCAGGCATATTTCTTGTGATTCATGAATGTGACGTTGCAGCCTGGGACTCCTTTCCAGGCTGGTGTTTTTCTGCAACATGCAATCGTAATGGATTAGTGGTGGAATTATCCCGGGCCGTCCACACATTGTGCTGCTTTCTTAGCATTCCTGTTGAGATGCAACAGGTGCACGCAATCTTCGCTTTCTGGAAACAATTGAAGACATGCTTGTTCTGACAATCTTTCCCAGGATCAAAGCGGTTTGATCAAAAAGGATAAAATGATAATTTTTTTCCAATAAAAACAATGGACAACAATAATTGAAAGCAATTGAACAAATTTAAAGCAGCAATAAACAAATAACTGAAATAAGCATGAACATTCTGGCTATCTTGGTAGGCTTGTCTAAAGAAAAATGCTTTCAGCAGGAGCTCAAAAGAGTACAGTGAAGGCACCTGCCTGGTATCAATAGGCAGGGAGTTCCAAAGTGGGTTCTTCTGTCTTGATTTAAATATATATGTTTCTGTGTTTGCAACTCTTTTTACATGTAAATCGCCTTGTGGCGGTGGTTTAGAAGATGATTAATAAATCAGTAACAACCACAATATAATTTTTTTGTAATACCTCCTTAATGTTATTGCATTATTGCCATCTGGAGGGACACTCTTGTTCCACAGAGCAACAAAAGTGGAAGGAAAAACAATAACTCCAGAACACTGGCAGTATGAAAAGTTAGAGGATTTTATCAGCAAGTTGTAGGACACACAATGATTGCAAATGAAGCAGTCTGTCCACCCTGGAACTTTTGCAGGCACAAAAAGTAGGCAAAGTGGGATTGCATCTCTCTGCCCTGAATGTCAGCACAAATCATGTGTCTCTTATTCCCATCTAGTTCCACTCTTTGAATTCAACCGTCACGCTGTCTCATTGTAACAGGAGCAGTATATGTTCTCTTGCGGGAACGGGGCACATTTTCTTGTTATGTTTTCTTGATCTCTCGCATAATATTGAAAATTGTCAGCTACTTGGCTGACAGTGCTATTTGACTCACTTCAGACAAAATGGCAAAATGTAGCTCGGAGCTATGAAAGCAAGGCTTGAAAGAGGCACCCCCCCTCCCCTCGCATCCTCAGAGTAATTGGCTGCTTCCTGGGTTTTAGAAAACCACAGCTGGTTGTTACGTCGAAACAGGAAACTATGGGTTGGGTCCTGAGATCCCTAAACGGAAGTCTGCTCATGAACCAGCGTTCTTTCATCTCCTGCAAGTGGAAGGGTGCCGTGTGTGTGTGTGTGTGTGTGTGTGTGTGTGTGGTACAGCCATTTTTATGGGAAATGGCAAGGGGGCTGCAGGCAGCAGTGAAATATTTGTGTAAGTCTCTGCTGGATTGCAGCCTCTTCTGCAAATGGAAGGGCACTCTCGTTTGGCTATCCGAGTCTATGGGTTTCAAACCATAACCAGACACCGGTTTGCAATTCTGATTTGCAGGACAGTTGTAAACTACAGCTTGGCAGTTCAGATGCAATGACAAACTATGGTTTGCCACAAACCAGGAAGTAGTACAAAATGAGAAGGAAACTTTGTATGAGCTTTAGACTTCCAGGTACCTTTGTGTAGCGCCAAACTATGGACTAGCCTTTGTCTTGGGAATTTGATGGCTCGACTTTGCTGGTGCATATTTTTGAAATGTTATTAAAGTCTAGTGTTTGGGAGCCGTTCTGTTTAGAGTAGGTGGCATAAGACTTTTTTTATATACATAAAAAAAATCAGTATCTGAAATGATCTGTGCTGCAAAACCTCTCTTGGAAGCAGTTCTCTCACAGCCATGTTCCCGCTTCCAATACTCTCTTGGGAACAGTTAGGGTTAACAGATTTGTAATGCCAAATGAAGAACATGCTGGCCATTTGACTTTTCCTCCCAAATCCCAAACATGTTTGCTTTCTCCCTGCCTGCCTCTTTTTGAATCTGAGAAATATGAAAAGGAACAACATATTCTGGCTTGCAGAAGATAAAGCAGAATGGCTTGGGGAAGCTGATCGATCAGTGGAATTATCTCCACGAATTGCATGTAAGACATGCATTGATTGAAGACAATGCAGGACGGGCGAGGTGTCCTTTTACACTAGCATTCTCTATTTAGAGCCGCTAATGGAGGGTGGCAGGGTGGTGAGTGTGTTTGTTCCAGCCTGGCTGCCAAATTTCCTAACGGGGACCCACTCGATCACGCAAGCCTTGTCCTTTTTCTTCTTTGGCACTCGCTAGTTTTACGTGCATTTGCCACTATCTGAACGCCTCTCCTCTGCAAAGCACAGGATAATAGTGTTATTTGCAAACAAAAATATTGACTTGCCTCAAGTGCCCCTATCTAAACATGGTTGTTTATCACATTTGCATCACTTCCTTCAATAAGCTCTTTTTTTCTGCGGGTGGAGCTTAATGGCTAAGATCTATGATCCAGGAAGTTCGCTGTCTGAATTTTGCCTCTGTCGCTAGGGAAT